TTGAACAGCCGAACTGCAGAACTGCAGTCAGCTGAAGTAGCCTGCAGTGCTGCATTTAACCACTGTGCCACCTCGGATCGTCTCTTAGTCCAATAACTACCTCCAAACTGGGGGTCTAGGCCAGTTGGCAGAGCCAGGTCTTCAGGCCCTTTGGGGATACCCCAAGGGTGGATGTGGATCTTGTCTTGGGGGACACCAGGCTTAAGAGGGCAGGAACCATGGCAGAAAAGGCATTTGACAGCATCTGGCAGAAAAGTATATGCTAATATTAAGTCAAAATGATACTAATCCCATCTGTGATGTCTTCTAGCAGTAAAATCATTGCTAATAGAAGAACATTTAGGTTAGTAAATGACTGGAGGTCACATTTGGTGCCGAAACTATACCTTAGTAGATAATGGGATAGGACCCTATTTGTTGCCAACCAAAGGACAGCGCTAGAAGAACCATGCAATAATGTTACAAGCATTAAAATATCCTTTTGTCTTGAATGAGCCCAAAGTATCCACTCTGCATCTGATCTTGAGATTAAGCATGGATCCTGCTGTTATACACACATGATCACATCAAGAGACATTTATATTACAAAAGCTAAGGCTGCCATCTAGAATGGGATCTGACCTACAGATAACCTGGGACAGCATTTCTCAACATGGACAACTTTAAGATGTATGGATTTCAGTTCCCAGAATTTCCCAGTTAACATGATGGCTCTACCCATCTTGAAGTTGCCAAAGTTGAGAAACATTGGTCTAGGCATAGAAAGAGCCTGTTTTAATTTAATAAACAGAACATTTATTGTGCAGAGTGGAGTATTGTAGAAGTATAAAGTTATTTATTCAGATACAAATATATCATCGTAATCTTCTTTCTCTTTCAAGTAGGTTTATTGTTCCCCTAAAATGCTGGGAAACAATGTACTTGGCCAAGGGACACTTCTAAGAGCCAAGGATGGGAATCCAGCCCTCTCTTTTTACATATTACTTTCATAGCTCCTAAGCTAACAGATTCTGCCAACCGTTTGAGATGCAGAAAAGGTCAAAAATAATACCCAGATAGTGATAATGCAATATGAAACTAGGGTCAGATTAAAAAAAAAAAAGTAGAAAACTCTATGAATACTAATTCAAGTCTACTGGGAATGTCCATTAACTTATAAAGTCAAGCAAATTCCCCAAGAGAGACCCCATTACTCTGTGTGACAGCTCACATTTTTCACTAAACAGGTTTTATGATATGGCTTCCTATGGTTTTGCTTCCCTCGCCCCCAAAAAGAATCCTTACATGCTCCCCGGCTCAACAATTCAATTCTAATCATTTGGAAACTGATAATTATTTAAACGCCGGTCTCATTTAATAGACATGTATTCACAAATGTATTCACATTTGTTCAGAGAATGCATTTTAAAAACAGTGGATACCGACAAATATGTTTGGTGTAGTATTCCTGCATTCATGCCAGCAAAAACTAAACATTAAACCACAGTTTGTGGATGCTTGATAGGCAGCCCCAAAACATTATGTCTGAACCAAGGGCACATCAGCATTCACTGTTTATATGATATTGAAGTTGTACCTCAGGATGGGAGAATTCCCTCCACAAAATTCAAGATCAGCTATAAACAATATTTAAATAATAACAATTATTTTTCACTTTGTCTGTGTTTTTGTTTCAATTTTTGCTATTGTTCTGCTAGAGGCATATTAACTTTTTAATGTTATTGTGCTTATGAAAATGATGTAGGTTGATCTTCTTTAATAAGCTGGTGGTTCTCCCAGCTATATTTCTGTTGCAAAGTAGGAAAATAGAAATGGCAAATCTACTGTAGAATATATTCCGTGTTTGTCCTGGTTTCATTTTAATCTACCCTGCCGTTTAGGAAGCTAAGAAAAAATAGCAATTAAAAAGTAAACTTTGACTCCTGTCCCTAAATGGAAATTTCAGTGCGCTTCACTTATAATTTCCTTCATTTCTTTTCTTTTTTAAATATCTCTTTCCAGTCAGATAATATCTCTCTCTTTCTCTCTCTCTCTCTCCTTCTCCCTCCTTCCCTCTTCTCTCACACACACTTTCTCTTTTCATCTATCATCCCCCTCTTTCTGTCTATTATCTATCTATCTATCTATCTATCTATCTATCTATCTATCTATCTATCTATCTATCTATCTATCTATCTATCNATGAGAATCAAACTGCTGGCTGTCGGCAGAATTAGGCTGCAATACTGCATTCTAACCACTAAGCCACCACGGCTTTTTGAAATATAGTTAACATGCCTTCAGTTAGGTATAACGATTCATCATTGTCAATAAGCAAATGTCTATCTTTAAAAATGCATTTGCTGTTTTAAGTTATTCATTGCCTGTTTTATAAAGCAGAGAGCCATGATATGTTGTGCACATTGCAACTTTACTCTTCATTTAAATTACCCTATGGTATTTACAATGATAAATAACGTAGTATCGGGTGTGAGAATTTATGTACTCATTGGATACTTCGGGCATTTGAATGAATGTTTAGACCAGATAAGTCATTACATAACAATTTGATAGAATAATGCAATGAAAAGCTGAGCACAAATTTCTGCACACTAAAAGAAGGGAGTTTTATCCAAGAACACAGTCATACCTCACAATAAAATCTGAGTGAGCGCCTTGCATGATCTGTTTTTCTGAGCGTATATGTTCTTGCTGTCTCGTGTCTACTATGTGACGTTTCTTTAGTATCTTCATTGCAAAAGTTTTTGATTCATCACTTTTCAACTGCACCTTGAGGAAACCAGACATTTGAATGATCAGAATCAGTGGTTATAGTAGGGCTCCTAAATGTTGAGCTTTGAGTACATAATCGCTAATCGTTACTTTCAAGTGCAAAGTAATACAATCAACAGGCTTAAAATTCTATATTCAGACTCAAGTTAATGGCCGTAACGGTTTATTCTTCTTTTGAGTAAAACACACGTGAAGAAACGTGATTGCTCTAATTTTCACTCGGATTCCTAATGAGCTGGGATGAAAACCATGTTGGAAGGGAATAATTTGATTTTAGGGAGTCAGAATAATCATTTTTAGGAATGGGATAATCTGATTATGTAAGGAGATGAATGTGATGAGAAAGTCTGTACAATTATAGGAACAATTGGCATGTTATTTTAAATTATTATCATACTTATGTATTTTAAAATGTGTTGGTGGCGGTTTGTTAACCAAGTTCGTTGTTTGATTTTCAAACATTCGGAAATTAAACAACAAACTCAGAGAACAAACCACCACCAAGATCGACCACCTGAGCTACAAACATTTCCCACCATTTCTAATTTTAAAATGCTTATATCTAGCATTTTATAGAGTAATGCGAAGCAATATATATCCTTGCATCCAGACGAGGGAGATGATGTGATTGTGGTGCTGACCAAGTACCTGGAGACTGTTTGGATGGGGAGAAACTGACTTTGATTCAATTTTGGCAAAATGGAGAGGCTTTGGGTTTTTAAACCGCACCCTTCAGGATTTGGTGATCTGTCATCAGTGCCGGATTTTCCTATAGGCTAAC